AACCAATAAACCAAAATACATAAAACTAAACTAAAACTGATACTTGTCAACAAAGAAGAAGGATATGGGTACGAAACTGGCACGAGGTGTTGGAGCATGACACGTGGGTCGTAAGCCAAGCAATTTCTTGCACAACCAATTAACTCAACAAAAAAAGAACAAGTTTTGAGTCAATCAGTTAACAAGCTGGGTTGTTATCGGATCATCCGTTAAGAACCGATAAGATATTTTAGCATTTCTCTTAAGTAAATTGTGCACGCTTGGTTGGAGTTAATTAGTACACAATGCTGTGGGGAGATTACTTTTTCATGAATAGAAGGGGAAATGGAGTGATTGCTTCTATTATTTAGGTGAAGAATGAGAAATAAATTTAAAATATGTTGTTCAATTTTTTATTTTTTTTTAACAAACGAAATTTTTCACACTAAAAAGGGAAGATGGATGGCCTTAGTTTCATAATGAGCTAGTAATAATGTAGTTCAAATCCGCATTTGGAAAGAATTGAACCATAAGTGAAGAGAAATACTATTAAACTGTAATACTAAGTATCAAAATATGTTGTTCAATTAAAGTGGAGACAATGTTCAAAAGTGAATTGATAGCTAAAATAGAAGCAAGGAGGACGCTGTACCATGCAGATGTGTAACCGACACAGCTTGTTATCATCACAATTACGAACAACTATTATGTCCTCTGATAATTAAGAAAAATTGTATTTTTGTTCATTTGATAATACTCACCACTCTGTTTATTATCGTTTGATTAGCTTAAAATTTGATATTTGTGTTTATCCATAATACAGATGTCGAAATTTAGATTCATCAACGATGATAAATAAAGTAATGAACATCAACATTAGTTAGCGATAGTGAGCAAAAATATTCCTATTACAAAAAGCTTTATCTCATTTGCTATATTAGGGTGAAATAGTCCAATGCAAAATAAGTTACTGTTATTACAAGTAAATTAAGAAATAAGATTGAAATCCCATCAACTTATGATTTTTTTAAGTGTACTTATCTTCTATAAACTCCAAATTTCGAGAAGGTCCGTGCGCATACGTTACCAACTGATAGTATTCCTCAAAAGTCATGTTATGGAAAATGGAATTTATGGATGAGAGGCCTAAAATTCTGAGAATCCAATTGAAACCATATTAATTAATTTTTTTTGTCGAAAAACCATATTAATTAATTAATTACATCATGTTTGTGGATGATTCATAAAAAAACGTGTTATAATCCAGGAAAAACTCAATCAGTCTACTCATTCTACAATTTCTAGGAACAAAAAACTCGACAACAAATTGAAAAATGAGACCCTTATTCCATGACATGGTCAGAAATTTGATTAATATAACGTTTAAGATAATCAACTTGATTTGACCAAATAAGTAAATAAATATAGGATATTGATCTAAATTCGAATACATACATAAATAAATGGGTAAATTACATTTTACCCCCTCAGATTTGAGGTCAATTTCAATTTCTTAAAATATTTTTAAAACATTTCAATTTCATACATTTACTTATCATTTAATTTCAATTTCATATATCCGTTAGAAAATACGTTAAGTTAACCGTTAAGTGATAATGTGGCAAATATGGGCTCCCCATTTGTCCTGACGTGGCTACCACATTTGTGCCACGTGGCTAAACACTTAATAATAAATTTAAAATATTAAATAATAATAATAAATTAAAAAAAGAAAAAGAAACCCAGAAATCCCCGACCCACTTCTCCCTCTCCTCCCCTGCAACCCCCCATCCCATCCTATCCCACCCGCACCTCCCCTCCCTTCTCTCTCCCCAGATTAACGCCGCCCCTCCCCATCACCACCGCATAGCTCTTTCTCTGATCCGTCTGCTCTTCATAGAGGTCCTCCGTCACTTCTCAATCTCGCTGTCCATCGGGCCGATTTCCCTTCCTCACAAACCATAGTATCTATGCCACCTCCCTAGGGTTGCTCACAAACCACAGTATATGCACCACCTCCCTAGGGTCTCTCTCCTCAGGCACTTTCGAGTATCAAGCATTTGGGGTAGTGACTTACAAGCTGCGACACCACCTGGGCCACCATTGCTTGCACCTTCATCATACCTCCCCATCACCACCGCATAGCTCTCTCTCTGATCCGTTTGCTCCTCATGGAAGTCCTTCGTCACCTCCCGATCTCGCTGTCCACCGGGCCGATTTCCCTTCTTCACAAACCACAGTATATGCGCCACCTCCCAAGGGTCCCTCTCCTCAGGCACCTTCAAGTATCTGGCATTTGGGGTAGTGACCTGCAAGCTCCGACACCGCCTAAGCCACCATTGCTTGCACCTTCATTGGACCTTCTTTGAGGATTTTGGCAAACACTGAGCACACACCGATGTGAATCATATGCTCCACGCTCTCCAGATCATGGCCGAGCAGCCCGAGTGCCTCCGCCATGTTCTCTTGGCATTCTGGTTTGCCCTCTTTGACCAATTTGAACAAGGGTCCGACTCCACCTTCCTCAATTATCAGAGGTGAAGCATGAGAAACCAACGGCAACCAACTACCACCAGATTGGGAAGGGAGGTAGGGGTGGGGTGGGATGGGATAAGGGGTTGCGGGGGAGGAGATGGAGAAGTGGGTCGGGGATTTCTGGGTTTCTGTTTTTATTTTATTTTAATTTATTATTATTATTTTAATATTTTAAATGTTTTATTAAGTGTTTAGCAACGTGGCACAAATGTGGCAACCATGTCAGGACAAATGAGGACGCCATATTTGCCACATCATCACTTAACGATTAACTTAACATATTTTCTAACAGATGTATGAAATTGAAATTAAATGATAAGATAATGTATGAAATTGAAATGTTTTAAAGATGTTGTAAGAAATTGAAATTGACCCCAAATCTGAGGGGTAAAATGTAATTTACCCTAAATATATATATGGCTAACCCGAAATATATATATATAAGACACATATTTTTATGGGCTTATTTTATAATGTATTTTAACTATTAGAATCGTTTATTTTTTAAGTATTTCCTCAAAAATCATTTCTACAAAAAATTAATCAAATCCGAGACTATATGACCGTTGTATTAAATTTAGTATTTTTTTATAGAATTGTATTCGTTAATTTCTTTGGATTAAATTTAGTGTTTTTTTATAGAATTGTATTCGTTAATTTTCTTCACTATAAGTGAATATTTTAATAATTTTAAATTTTTCTTTTTTTTTCCTTTCTTTCTTTTATTTTTTATTTTTTATTTTTATTTTTTATTTTTTTGCAAATATGATCTATGGCTATGAATAATGTACTAAAATACTGGTTGGATCCTTGAATACATTACGAAGTGAGTTATTACTAAAATAAAAACGGTTTGAATCATTGAATCCATTACGAATTGAGTCCTACTACAATATGAACAGTATTGATAAGCACTAGGCATGCAGCAACACAATATGCATCATGAGCCCTCCATCACAACCATCGAAATATCATAAGTAATGAGTATCAATTAGCTTATTAATTAGAAAAACAATAAGAGATGACACTTTACTTCAGTAACAGAAATCAATAATGTTTATGCACCTTGATGAGGGTTGATCCTTACTGATTCCCACCCTTAAAAGAGAGATAAAGACGAAGAATAGTGAACTAAAACCGACTAGCCTTTAGGCTTGTTGAAGATATTTTGTAAGAAGTATTTGTACTCATATTTGCCTTTTATAAAATTATTTTATTAGAAACACATTAAAATTTAAGTGCTTCTTAAAAAACACTTAAGCAAGGCTTATTCTATTTGCAGCCCAAATATTGTTGAATACACCCCACATACTTAATACACCTCACATTTACTTTTTCAATTAAAAGTTATCTTTATACACCCCACATACTTTCCCTTAATACCTTCACACCCCACATTTTTTTACCTGCACTCCACTTCACATTTTTATTATTTTTTTATTTTTCACTCAATGAAACCAGATTGAAGAAGAATGTGGGGCTGATAGAACGCATCCATGAATCATTGGATTGAATAATTTCATTGTATGTACAAAAGAACCAATCATATGTGCATCTGCGAGAGCTTTTGGTATCACAACCAAAGAGACAAGTATCTTGACTTGGACGTTCCTCTCTTCCCCTTCCTGTTTGGGTTTAATTTGAGGCGTCATAACGAGAATCTGCAAGTTCTGAGTCTCCTCTGTGAAAATCGTCATAACAAAGTAGATTTGTTGATTTCATACGGAGATGAAGTTGTAGTGATACAGTGAATGAAAATCAGGAGGCTATTGATCAATATCCCTGGGCTTTAAAGTTGTGATCAACGTGTTTGTAGTTTCATTAATTTGGGTTTTGTACTACAATAGAGGATGAGATTGGTTTTGAAAGTTGAAGAAAAATAATTGTAGCATATACATGTTAAAGTTGTGATTTGGGGTGTATTTAGATTTTTTATTTAACTTTATGAGGCTAAAATTGTCATTGCATATTAGATATATAAGTGATTTAATATTGAATTTTAATGTGGAGTGTATTCAACATTATGTGAGATGTTAATAAAAAAAGCCAAAAGCAATCCTGTATTTTTTATCCCTAGATTCTCGACATTAAGATCTAGAGTGGATCAAATTCCATGACCATTGATTCCAACGTCTAATTATGTAGGAATAGAATCCTTTCCGTATCTTCTTTGTGGAGATCCGGATGATCAATCAATCGTATCCATTCATCGTACATTATGCAGTTAAAAAATTAAAATTGAATATAAATAGTATCAAACGAAAGCTGATCGCACGATGAAACAGACATGATTGATTGATCTTCGGATTTCCCCCAAGAAGACCAAGAGAAGATCCTTGTCCAATTATGTAGACATGACTGATTCTCCTCTAAGATATTACAAAAAAACGAAATGGAAAATTCAGCACACAGACCAAAACAAAACCAGAGAAAATTATGCAATTTGTAGGCACCAATGAATGTTTTTGTTGGAGTAAAAAGATAAAGAGACTCAAAAGCAAGTCAACCGCGTATAGCTCTGTGCTTCACGAAAGTCTAAAAAGGCTACCAAGAAGCTCCAATGGCAAGAAACCTTCACAGCGACTTTTCCATTCTTTTCTTTCTCCTTGCTTTTTGTTAGCTTCTCATCCAAAAAAACAAAACCCAAAAAAGTAAAAGGAAACCAACCCGAAAGCACCAATCGTCGTCTTTGCCATCAGCTACTGCTAGCTAGGATCTCTGAAAAGTAAAAAGTTGCAATCTTTTTCGTGTCTGAATTGCGGACTTCGCAGTTGGGTTCTTAGTCTTTATGTTCCTCTGCGGAAAGAGTGAAAAATCTTGCTGGCAGATTGAACCCAGAAAACAAAATCTCAGTCTGCAGTTGGGTTCTTGTCTGTTGAATTTGAAGACCTTGGTGAGATACAGAGATTTTGGGAAACTTTTTTTTTGATGGGGGCTTGCTGGAGCAACAAAATCAAGGCTGAAAGTCCTTTGAATACAGGTAACTTTTTTTTTTTCTTGTTCTTTTTTTCTGGAAGGAAAAAACTAATCTGTTGTTGATTTTTCCTCAGAAAATATTAGACTTTATTTTTCCTGGATGTCTTCTTTTTGTTTGACCAGATGGGTTTTTATTTTTGAGGTAATTCTATAGGTTTTATATAGAAATCATGGGTATTTAAAGGTTTTGTTGTGGAAGAATTGTTTTGATGATGGATGATAGAAGTTTATAGTATGAGTTCACCACTACATTGTGGAGTGAATCTTTTGGTGATGTATGTCAATTGGGTTGCTTTCTCTGACAGGATTCAATTCGAAACAAGGGAGTGGTTCAAGTGGCAGGAACTCATCGACTTCCATGCCGGTGACTCCTCGGAGCGAGGGCGAGATCTTACAGTCTACTACTCTGAAGAGTATCAGCTTCAGTGAGCTTAAAACCGCCACCAGAAACTTCCGTCCTGACAGTGTGCTGGGAGATGGGGGTTTTGGTTCCGTTTTCAAAGGTTGGATTGACGAAAGTTCGCTTATAGCATCCAAGGCCGGGACTGGCATGGTGATCGCCGTGAAGAAACTCAACCAAGATGGGTTCCAGGGTCACAAGGAATGGCTGGTGAGTGCAATTACCTCAACATTTTTATGAGTTTTGATGGTGATCTGAAATAACTTGTTATCTGCATTGTATGCTTATGGCTTCATGCCATAGTAGTTTACTGCTCTTTAATTGCGAGAAACTTGCCATTCGAAATTCTCCATATCACCTAACTGTGACTTGTCTATGACTTGCAACTTTTGTTAGATTATGTAATGTCAATTTGGATTTGTTTTCGAATCATATCTTGATACCAGAGTGATGAATCCTACATTTTGGATATACAGGCAGAAATCAACTATCTAGGAGAGCTGCATCATCCTAATCTTGTGAAACTTATTGGATATTGCTTAGAGGATGATCACCGGCTCTTAGTTTATGAGTTCATGCCTAAGGGCAGCATGGAAAACCATCTATTCAGGAGTGAGTTCATTACGTACCCAATAGTGGCATTCGTTTTTGAACCTTTCTCCTCCCCCCTTTTTCTTCTTAGAGAAAGCATGTTGCAAGTTGAATATGATGCCTTGGTACTGAAGAATATACTGTTGCAACAGGAAGTTCTCACTTTCATCCACTTTCTTGGAGCTTCCGAATGAAAATTGCCCTCGGTGCTGCAAAGGGACTTGCCTTTCTCCACAATGCTGAAACACAAATTATACACCGTGACTTCAAGTCAGCTAATATTTTGCTCGACGCGGTATGTTATTCGATACCCTATTTTCATCAGATTCAAGTATGGTTGGATATGCCAAATTTCACTATATCAGGGTCTCCTCACTGACTCCTTGTTTCAATTTCAGAACTACAACGCAAAGCTGTCTGATTTTGGGTTAGCCAGGGATGGGCCAACTGGTGACAAGAGCCACGTCTCTACTAGGGTCATTGGAACCCAGGGATATGCTGCTCCGGAGTATTTAGCCACAGGTGCTACACCTACTTCATTTTTGTCTAAAATCCTTGACCAGTACGAACCTCTTTGGCCTTTAGAAACCAAGCTCCTCTCCGAATGTCACGATTTCTCGTAGTTTTTTCCATTAAGTACCGATTCCCGGCCTTGTCTTAAAACTAATCTGTCAATTTACCGTCATTCAATTGTTGGCCACCGATGGAATGCAGCTGCAATTGCCAAAGTTAAGGTTTAATAATTAATAGAACCAAAGTTCAGTTAGTGCTTATCTAATTGCTGTTTTCTTCGTCAGGTCATCTTACTACCAAGAGTGACATATACAGTTTCGGAGTTGTTCTTCTAGAAATGTTATCTGGACAACGAGCTATAGATAAGAACAGGCCAACTGGAGAACACAATCTGGTGGAATGGGCAAAACCATACCTGAGAAACCAACGCCGAGTTTTTCGTGTCATTGATTCTCGCCTTGAAGGCCAGTACTCAGTCAGTTGTGCCCAAAAGGCTGCTGCCCTTGCGCTTCAATGTCTTGCTGTAGATCCCAAGGACAGACCTGACATGAATGAAGTAGTAACAGTACTGGATGAGCTTCAGGACGTCCCCAAGGGTACTCAGAAAGAGCATAATGCAACTAGTCCCAAGTCCAGCAAAAGGAGTGTTGACGATGCTGCCAACGTGACTGCTTATCCCCGGCCTTCTAGAGACCCACTTTTTGCTTGAAGAAAGAGCTTTCGTGCCGCCCGAGATATAGTGAAAGGTGCGAAGTGAAGTCTTGATAGATAAAATTTGTACATAGCCGAGAATTGTTCAAAGTAGTGTGTAGTGATTGTGTATAATGTCTTCGAGCCTACTGCCTTTGAGTATTTTTTGGTTATTTACGCGCAGAATCACTGAACTTGCGGAGTTGTTTTCGGGTTACTGAAATTTAAAAAATGCAAAAGTGCAACGTGTGTATGAGAAGTGCGATTCGGCTCATTGAGTGATTTTCGTTCCTCTCGGAATTATGGGACCTTGATAACGGCCTCCATTAGTGTATGGATAGTCTGTTTTGCCTCATAGTTGTGTCTCATATTCAAATATAAGATGTAAATCGTAAGTTTCCGATGCATTGGAGATGCTCTAACTCTGTATACAGTTTATGTAATTTTTTTATTCAAACTTCAAGCACAAGAATCAACTGTAGCACAACTTAAACTGGATTGATGTTAAAATCCAGGTTCGAATCCCGGCAGTGGAATTGCTCTTTGCATATCACAAACCTCTTTAAGAACTTACAGAAGGGATCTTAGCCCCTTTTTTGGTTTTTACCGACTGCCCACCAAGAAGGATTGCTGGCAACGAGTATTGAATTTAAATCTTGGTCTAATGAAGAGAATGATCTTCAACAACTCAAGTGAACTATCTGCACTCTTTTTTCAAGTGGGCGCAACTGCCCACACTAGGCATTCCGCCAGTGTTCATGGATGGTCCTTCAGCATAATTTCGTATTGTTTTTTTTTTAAAAAAAAATTGTTAGAATTGTAACATAGTTTTCAGAGTTTAAAACATCGTTAAGCTTGGCATATTGTACAAAATTGTGGGTGTCCAGAGAAAAAGAAAAAATAATTTGGGTGTTCAAGGAAATAAGAGTGTCCAGAGACCATTTTAGGGGGCAAAGTGGAATGTGATGTTTAAACAGGTTCCACTCCTGACAGCGGAAATAGTGTTTGTATTTTCCCTTCTATTTCTCCGCAAATCACGCAACAACAATTGCTCTCACATGTTAGGGTTTCTAGTCAATTGATACAAGTCTTGGTCTTCATCTTTAAACGACTGACTTTAACATTCATCAATTCAATTTCTTGGTGGACCAGCTAACCAAAACCACATAAATCGGAGATAATTTATACTCTGAAGCACTATATCGTTTTCGTTAACTAGTAGTCCAAATCATATATCATCCCTACAACCAGGTAATATGAACAACCGTACCTGCTATCAAGTTCTTCTGGTTAGCAAGTACTAAACAATTAATAAACAGCACCAAATCCACAAGCAATTATTCCATACAAGTTTCTGACGTACCTGTATAGATTACAACGCAGCCGGAAAAAGAAAAACATAAAAACCAATTTGTACGTAAATATAATTATTGGCCAAAAAATTAATTATTTATATAACACCAATTTGCATGGGACGACCAAGACTTATAATTCCATTATCCAGCATCGATTTTGAACCAGTTTGAATTTCCCTGAGAGAGAGAGAGAGAGAGAGAGGTCCCGCCGCCCCGGCCGGGGGGGGGATGGAATTCGTGGTGTGTCTGTGAGAGAGAGAGAGACAGAGAGAGAGAGGTCCCGCCGCCCCGGGGGGGGATGGAATTCGTGGTGTGTGTGTGTAACATTGCTAGGAGATTAGATTTCATATGGACGGACCATTTAAGGATGAGGACCGTAAATAATTGACCCGTTCGCATGTTTATGGTTGATGATCGCGAATTAAAGTAATTGGGTTAGTACTATATATGTATTCAATGTAGGAGGATCAGGAACAAAACCAGTTTGGACTGAAAAGTTTACATTCAACGTAGAATGTCCTAGAGACGAAGATCACAAATATATGTTTTGGTTTCGTATCATGGACACCTAAAAGCTCTTGGACCATGATGTAGTTGTTAGAGATCCTGTGCATATCTTAAGATTTTGAATTCAGGATTTACGTAAAGAATGTACGTGATATAGTATATGTTACTATGACAAATGTTATGTTACTATAACAAGGTGTTAAGTTACATAGACCAAACGATCAATGATATAGTATATGTAAAATAACACTTTGTTATAATTGGTAATTGTACCAATTATTTGTAGGATGTACGTGGAGGATGTGATAGCGTGGGCACAGAGAGTGGAAGGGCTGAACTTCGACTTGCAAAACAGAGTTGTCCTTGAAGACAAGACTTATGCTGGAGAGATCTATTGCTTTAACTTTCACCTTAAATTCATAAGCTAAATCCTACACCGTAGATATATAATTGTATATATAAAAAAGGAAATTTTAACAAAAAGCTTCTAGTACTGTTCACTTTAACAAAAAACCACATTTTTACACTAAAAAGTCAATCCTGATACTATTTACTTTACCCTTTATTTTGTTCGTATCGTTAAAACTCAAAGTTTTTAAGCTCTTTTCATTAGCACACATTCTTCTCAATTTTTGGCTAGCAGATAAAATGGATTGAAGAATATTAAATGATAGAAATTAACAGGAAAGGTGTGTAAGAGGCAAAAAAAAGTGTGTGGATAGCATTCTATAAAACATGTTTCATAAAATCCAATTGTCTTCCGATTTAAATATAAACTATAGCTTAAGATAGCGTCAAGCCGTCTTAGCTCAGCTGGTAGAGCGCGTGGCTTTTAACCACGTGGTCGTGGGTTCGATTCCCACAGACGGCGTTTTATTTTATTTTAATTTAAAATTTTTTTGGATACAATTAGAAATAAAAATAAGGCCCGATCCATTTGAGGCCACTAGAAGGCACCTTTGGGCTATACAAGCCATAGATTATGTTGGGCCTCCTTTACAACTTAGTGCAAAAAGAAAAAATAATTTATGCGCTCTCTTTCGATTTCCAGCACTTTAAATAAGAATAAACTGTTGATTTGCTCTTGGCTTATCACTTAACTTTCGATTTCTTCCTTAAACTTTTTAATTGGAAAATTAAAGACTTAAACTAATTTTTTTGGCTGATATGCCCTTACTGTTAATTTTTCATTCATTCCATCCAAATTTTTGTTAAATGGGAAGCATGTTGCACAACATGTGAGGATAGTTCGGTCGCTTCATTCTTTAAAATTATTGAAAATCTTATATTTCTTAAATATAAACCTATGCAAATATGTGTGATTCTATAGTTTTTGTGTCTGAAAGTCTAGCAAAGTGACGCTTTTGTCCACAAAGGAGAGTCACGTAGTGTGCGCGTGATAAGAGTTAATGTTAATTTGGATGAAATCTATGAAAAACTAATGGTAGGGGGAAGTCGGCCAAAAAAATTTAGTTTAAGTCCTTAATTTGCCAATTAAAAAGTTCAAGGATAAGATCGAAAGTTAAGTGATAATTCAGGGGGCAAATTGACAGTTTAGCCCTTAAAATAATATAGATAATTTCAAATACTATAAATAGAACCACCATGAGGGTGGCCCAGTAATTGTGGATGAATTCCCAACCCATATTCACACGGCACGTCCTGTGATCGATTCTTAGGACTTGTGAATCACACGATGGCCTCTAGGGGGAGGCTGTGAAATGCCTATAGGAATCTTTCTGGTCCTTAAAAGGGTAGACTGTTGTAGCAAAACTATAATTTAGTCCCCTTTTTAAGAAAGTAATAATGGAAAACTAATGAAAAATAGCTTGAAAACTTTGGGTTTTAGTAATAAGGATAAAATAAAAAGTAAAATGAATAGTATCAGGTTTGACTTTTTAGTGTAAAAATGTGTTTTTTCGTTGAAGTAAACAGTACCGTAGATTTTTCGTTAAAACTCCCAAGTAATAATATAAATAGTCGAAAATAGGTAGCCTTAAAGAATTCGTGGCCTCTTGACATTTGGCGTAGGTTGCAGTGTAAATTGAAGAAATAAAATTTTGATATGATTCCCAAGTATAAATTCAAATTCTACCTATATATCATGGACATGATTCATGTGGTCCTCATGACCTCAAAATCCATTTCCGATTCCAAATATGTGACTACTTGATCAAAAGCATATTGAAGGGATAATATGCGAGCAGATTGAAGAATTTTGTTTTTTTTATAAGGCAATATTATATTTTAAACTATTTTAATTTACGAAAACATAAACTCAAACTCAGATGCTGGGACGAATACATGTCCTAACCAACATATGATGCGTTAGAGCATCTCTAATGGGTGCTTTATTCTTCTTGAGGCTACTATATTTAAAGCCTTAGTAAGAAATTTCACTCAATGGGCTTAAAAATTGGGCTAAATCCAGTCACAAAAAGTAGTACGACCCACATGAGATCAAGGGCACAGTTTGATTTCAAATACATATCTCAATGACTATTTTTTGTTACTGTTTGTTTTTTGTTTTGTCAATGGCTAGTTTTTTTTTTGTTTTTGTCAGATATGAAATCCAACGGTGCATAAGTGATGAAATCTAATATTGTCAGAATTTGAGTTTTTTTTTTTTTTTTTTTAAATTGACAAATTTATAATAAATTTTTTTAAAAGAACTCATCCAAAAATCAACTTCAGAAAAGTTAAGACAAAAATAACTTTATCGTGTCTTCAAATTACTACATAGATAAATATATAGCTCCATATAGAGCCTGAAAAGTATATTACTCAACGCCAAGTATTTCTCGTAGCTCCAAAATGCGCTATATCCACCACTTTTTCAGCCTCATAGAGTCCTCGTTGAAAATGCTTTTAGAAGAATATAAACCGTTGACAATTGAGTCATAAACTACAAAGACCTTTGCAGTTTGCCCCAATAGGATTTTGATTTTATTTGTCACCGAAAGTTGTGAGATAATGTGGTGGATAAGGTATAAATGCCAAGCAACTTTTCCTCTTTACCAATTTTACTACTTTTTTTTATAAAAAAAAAAAAAAAAAAAAAAAAATTTGGATGGCGAACCACGATTATCTATTTCAGACTCAAAAGAGGCTAGTTAAGAATTGCACCTATCCAATTTTACCAATTTTAGTCAATGGAGTACTATTGTCCACTGTTTTTTGGGCACCAACGTTTTCTACCGATCTACATAGAACCTGGCACCGCCTCTCGGGGTTGTTTTGAAGCATTGGGCTTTTAGTTATGGAAGCAAATAATAATGCTCCAATTTTAGCAGCTTGACACATCCATCTTTGGTTTAATTTCAATGAAATCTGCACCGTCCATTCAATATTTTTGTGATATTTTCTCGTATATATATATGCACAAAAAGGGCCACAAAAATTGAGTGCAAAAACATGCAAGAAAGCAAGTAGACAAACAATGTTAATTGCGTCAAAGGGGGTATGAAATTGAAGGGCATTCAAGATATTAGCAACTTGTGTTGTGTTGTGACCATCGGATAGGAACCATTTGGTAACATGTGTTCGCGCAATCCACAATGTGGTAGTCTATATCGTAATTGGGACCTGTTTTAATTGTTCTTTTGAGAATATATCTTTATAGAAAACATTTTGACTCATAAATGCTATCAAAAGTATTTCAGTTATTTACAAGCTAAACTTGAATCAAGTTTAAACCAATAAAAAAGAAGGAATAAATTTCAAACATTAAAGCTTGACATCAAAACTTCTATTGTGCTCCGGAGTATCCAATACTCTGAAACTTTTAACCGTTTAATTTAAGTTTTTATGTTTTAAATAGAAAAAATAACGGTTAAAAATTCAGAATACCATAGAAAATCTTTGGAGCATCAAATTTAAACTGCCGTGGTACAAGATGGTTAAAGAAGAGTAATTATGGACAGGTCTGCATGAGGAGAGATTTTTCAGTGCGACTGATACACGGGATGGTACAGCACGTGTCACTATACAAATTGTAGGATATGTTTGTTAAAAACTTAATAACTTAAAATATAAAATTTTCTACTACTTATATAAAAACATGTGGTGCATCACCCATATTATCACAATAAAAAATTTCTCCTGAATAAGTGGCAGTGGCAGATACCAATAAGGTTTTGCTGCTCGCACTGTCTGGACCAGGATCCTCTCCTGAGCTAAGGATGAGGATCCTCCTCATCAATGAGTGTGGGCCGTTAGATGAAAATCCAACGGCTACAAACAGGGGGGTCCCTTTAAAGTTATAATAATTGTAGCCGTTGGATTTTCATCTAACGGTCCACATCCCTTGATGAGGAGGATCCTCATCCTTAGCTCACAAGAGGATCCTGGTCCGCACTGTCTACCTCAGACTGGTTGGTGTTAATCTGCCAATCACATATGAATAATGCATTAAAACATCTTTTATTCAACTTTATCTCCATTTTTAAAAGAAGATATTGTCGACGCTCTAAAAAATTATGCGATCTTTTAAGTCTATATTTCTTATTATTTAAAGTGCAGATAACTTATTTGAAGTGCTAATTACGGCTCATTTCTCCCAAATGAATTTATGATACTGTGGGACCTAATTAATTTGAGAGAGTTAAGACGCTAGAGTTCTTCGACAAGAGATTCAAGAATAAGAACTTTGCACTCATCCTAGTTCACGCAACATTTAATTTGTAATTAGTGTAAAAAGACCATAAAAGAAATAATTTGAAATGAAGCCACTAAACACGTTTGCCATGCTGCCACAAGTATATTCAGTAAATCAGGACTGAATTCCCTTTCGCTCTTAAAATTTCGAGTGGTTTCTATAAAATTTCAATCTATTAGACCAAAAGTTCAATAAGTACTAAGACCATCTTTAACCGAGGGCTGACCAGACGGCTCGTTTTAGCCATCTGGTCCTCCAAGATGTTAATATTTTAATGAACAGTACATGGTTATATTTGCCTCCATCTCAAACCGAGGGCCATAGGGCTTGTTTTAGCTCTGTCATAAAAAACCGTCTCCAACCAAGGGCCAAAGGATCATAGGGCCAAATATAATTTATTATTTAAAAATTACAACTTAAATGCAAATCTAACGGCTAAGTGACGTTAGCTAGCCGTTGGATTTGAATTTTTTTGGGCTATAAATAGGGTGGATATTGGGTTATAATTCACACAACTTTGAATTCAATCTATTTCAATTCAATCTCTTTCAATTCAAGTTTGCAATGAATTCCAACTTTGGATCCTCTTCGGATTCCAACTAGGGGTCCTCATCCAATTCCAAATTGGAAGAAAAATGGGTGCAGATGAGACGAGAAGATGAGGAGTCTGATGAAGAAGATGAAGCATGGTGCAACGCACAAAACATAGCAGCAGCCATGGCTGCGACCATGGTGTGTCAGCCAACTGCGCAACAACCTGAATGGGGTGGCTCTGTTGATAGTTGCTCTTACAAACCACAAAACAGAGTGATGACGCATGCTAATCTGATGAACAACTACTTCAACCCCAACTCGGTGTAAACATAAAAGGATTTCAGATGTCGCTTCCGGATGAGGCGTTATGTCTTCGAGCGTGTACTTCATGATATCCAGCAGGTCAATCTATACTTTCGAAAAAAGCAGGATAGAGCATGCCGCCCTGGTTTCTCACCTCATCAGAAGGTTGCTGTTGCACTCTGAATGATGGCCTATGGCTCCCTAGCTGATTTAATGGATGAAACTCATGGTATGTCTGAGTCTACAAGCCTTGAATCTCTTCAACAATTTTGTGTCATAATTGTTTAGGTTTACAAAGACGAGTACCTTCGCGAGCCAAATCAAGAAGATCTGGATCAGCTCATTCACAAAGCTAATGACCGTGGGTTTCCGTGCATGATAGGGCCTTAGACTGCATGCATTGGGTTTGGAAGAACTGTCTAACCGGATGGCAATGAGGCTTCTGCGGAAGGTTGAGAAAGCCAACTGTTGTGTTAGAGGCGGTTGTCTCGTATGACACATGGATCTGACATGCTTTCGTTGGAGTCCCTGGATCCCAAAATGACATTACAGTTCTTGGGCGTTTACCTCTCTTTAATACCCTGATGGAAGGTAAAACACCTCAACTTGACTACTACATCAACGGTCGTTCGTACAATATGAGGTATTACTTGGCAGATGACATCTACCCAAAGTGGGTGACACTTGTCCAAGCAATTCCAAACCCTAGGAATGACGTCGAAAAGTTGTTTACCTTACACCAAGAGGCATACCGGAAAGATGTTGAGAGAGCTTTCGGTATTCTACAAGCACGGTGGAAGATCATTAGAGAACCGGCAAGAGGGTGGAGTCGAGAAAATTTGGACTCCATCATAATGTCTTGCATCATATTACACAATATGATTGTGGAGGATGAGCGAGATGGGTATATTGATGGAGAGTCCGATGATGACCAAGATGATCCAAATAGGTTAAGAATGGCTCGTGTAAAAATATATGATGGGCCTAATTTGCCTTTCAATCCAAGAACTGGTAGTATCTCTATAAATGACTACATGAGGCGCTATACAATAATACGTTCCCGTGCCACAAACAAATACCTACAACAAGATCTTGTCGCACATCTTTGGCCAAATATAGCATGGAGTATGAGTTTAAGTTTTATGTTGTTAAATGTTTTTCACAATGTTGTTTAAGTTTCATGTTGTTAAATGTATAATTTTTATGTTGTTTAATGTTATTTAATGTTATTTAATATTGTTTAATGGTATTTAATGTTATTGAAAAAATTAAAGGAAAGATTATTGGAAGAGGTAAAAAAAATATAATGTGAAGAATTGAAATAGAATGGAGTGAGATAGTATGGAATGGTGAAAATTATGTGAGAAATGATGTAGGAATGGCTTAGGTATTGCTTGAAAAAAAAGAGGGAATTTTTAAATTTCATAAACCAAGGCATAATTTAAAATTTTAGGTGTTTATGAATGGCTTAGGAAAAAAAAAAGAATTTTTAAATTTCATAAACAAAAATTTGGCCCCCAAAAAAAAAACATTTGAATCCAATGGTAACTAGCCGTTGAATTTCAAATTTTGGCAACCATTCATGTCGGTCGGTTATATCCGACAGGAATAAGTACTATTACCGTCGGTTATATCCGACAGGATTAATCAAAATTTTGGCCCAACCCGTGGCTAGCTGGCTGGCTGGCTGGATTGGGCAAGCCGGTTGGCCCTTTCAGATTTCATGGGGCTCACCAGCCCTCTGGCCAAACCCTTGGTTGGAGACGGATTTCAGGCAATTTTCAGCCCTCTGAACCATTCGGTTGGAGATGGTCTAACTAGTTAGGGTTTAATCCTCTTTGATCTCAAAATTTATCAAAAACTTATTTGAGTAAAGTAGCTCGTACGTGGCACATACTACAGACGACATCAACTTACTACTGTCGTAGCCTCTTGTGTCTTGGCACAAAGGTATGAGAAGAGAAATTAAGACGTTGCAAGAACCAACTTGGGAAATTAGGGGAAAAGGGGAAAATAAATATAAAATAGGGTGGACCAAGTGGTGGTAAGTTGATATCATCTTTCTTCGTTTACGCTTTTGAAAATTCAAGTTTTGAGATGCATGGCCCTCCACGCAATCTGCTAGATTTCCTCATATGGAGCCATTTCTTCTTCTCATCACTACTTTCCTATGCAACAAAACGTCATGAAATATCAAAAATTTAATTGCACCTCCATCCTTTTCAACTCTAAATTATCACCATTTTTTATTTCTATTTTTCATTTGGTATTTATATGGACAATTTGTTTACAGATAGACTTGGTTTTGTAGTCAAAGCAACTTCACCATCAGATGGCAGTCCTTTCCAGGGTTCCGTAACATTCTATAGATGTCTTCGGAAGAGATGGATAACTGTGGCTTGCCACAAGTTGTCCCCCTTTTAAAAGAAAAAAAAAACATTCTATAGATGGGTTTGATGCGAGCGTTCATTCATTTGATGGCGATAATTCTCGAGATTTAAGCTTATGGGTCGTCTGTTGAAAACTGCATTCCCCATCGAAATCATGTTAAAATAAATAACTTATATTTAATTGTCACAATTCCTAATTGCGTCGAGAGTATTTGTAATAAAAATCAGACGTTCCAGGCAATGCAAGTAATTAAATTGAAGGAAGTTTTGCACAAGTACCACCTGAACTTCAAAATATGTGCACAAATTCCACCTAAACTATCAATATATTTAGTAGCGTATTGTAGGTTTTGCGTTGTGGAGGCAAGGCAGCAATCGATCTTAATTTGGGTGATGTATGTATGTTTTTAATTTGTGTAGCTTTTGCCCGCATTGTTGTTTTTCTTAGACGAATTTGATGTAACGTTCAAGTTTATCAAATAAAATTATACTTTAATAAATAAAACACAATTAATCCATCCAAAAGAAAATATAAAAGTAACCCATAAACAGAAATTAAATTTGCAAAAAAAAAGGAAAAAAAAAGAAATATGCTAACTGAAATATATATTATATAAAATTCTAGAAAAGATATGGAAAGAGGTGCGGGCTGCATGTTTGTTCTTTGCAGCCGCTTCAACTCCTTTTACACACTATTTGGCCGGATCACCTAAATTCTTACCACCCTCCCCACTCAAACCAAATAAAAAAAAAGCACCAAAGTAAAAAGTAAAAAGTTGCCGCACACCACACTTGCAAAAGAAGTCGCTTTTCGACCTATCTTACCACCCAATTTTAACTTTTAACCCCCCATCATCTAATACTTTACTTTTATACTCCCACCGCTTCCAAATTTTCCCGGGAAAATTAAGGAAAATCAGATGGCGGGAAATTAAACTTTGATAGTTAAAAAAAAGAGTTAAAAACCCATGGAAAATTACAGATAGTGGATAAACTTTTTTTTTCCTTCTTAATTTTAGACCCGGAAATTCTTGCCGGTGAAAGTTTGTCCGAACTGCCAATCAGCGGGTGCCACGTTGTGGGAGGTGGATGTGCGCCTGTCACTGCCCGTGACTCGAAAGGACAGGGTCTGGCCCACCAGGTCTGCGTTGGATTGCCAGTTTTGTCCCCAGTTGCGGCTCATCGACATCCACCCAGTGTTCGCGCCTTTTACGCTCACCCTCACGATATCCCCTGCGCCCGCGACGTTGGTGATCAGAACCAGGTTGAAGTAACGGAAACCGTTAATTGTGAATCTCACTCCGCCTTGCTTTCTGCACGGAACTCTGAAAAAAGGAACAAATAATAAAAAAATATTAAACGGAGTCAAAATTTTATTACTGCGTTTAAAAAACGGCTTGAGTAGGTTTGACTGGTAAATTTCCGATGCGGAAATGGTGCGATTCCCCATAAAGTTAGTACCGTTTCAATACACGCGTCGAACGGCGTGAAGGGACTGCCCTAACCCAGTTAAAAGACCTATCTACCCTTCATGCCTTCACTAAATTACACTCACCTAAACCAAGTCAATAGGGTTTCCTAGAGTGAGGTTGGTTTGGTCATTTTAAGCAAGGGGGAAAGGGGAAATCGTATTCCCGTTGGTTAGTTTGGGTAAACGACGTAAAACGTGACGGATGCTCAACTAAACATTAAGGTCTGTTTGGTTCGCGAGAAAATAAAAACATTTCTGCCGTTTGGTTAATAAGAAAACAAGAATGTTCTTAACTGAGGAGCACTAAAGTCTAGGCTGGTTTCTCGGTGACCAAACATGATTTTAGAAAGCGATAGAGAAAGCAAAGGCGAGGGTATTTCCGTCCAAACGAAAAATAAACACAGAAAAAGCGAAAGAAAAGGAGACTGAAGTGAGTGTGTGACAGTAAGTTTGGTATACTCACCGGCGGTAGGAGACGGGGACGATGCCGGCCTTGTACTCGGCGATCTTGAGGAACATGGGCATGGCCAGGTCGAAGTGGGTGCGGGGAGGGTTGCACCACCCGCCGTCGTCGCTGGGCTGAGCGAAGTTAGGAGGGCAGAAGTTGGTGGCGGTGACTAAGATGGAGGGGTTGCCTGGGTGGCACCACCTGGGGTCGTCGCCGCACTTAATCTCGAAGCAGGCGCCGCAGCTAAGGCCATTGTTGAACAGAGCAGTGCTCAGCGCCGCGGTGTTGACGCCGTATCCTTGGCTGTAGAGGTTTCCGTACCCGCAAGCGCCGCCTGAAAAATACAGAGACAAATGGGTGGTTTTAGGAGGCTCAGAGCCTGAGACTTTTGAGTAGAAAACAAGAAAATAAAACATGGGTTCTGCAAATCAGAGAGAAAAACTTAAAAATTTGAGAAATGAAATGGGGTTTTGAGATGAAGAAAATGGGTACGTACCCATGGTTCCAGAGGCGTCGTTACCACCGTAGAAGGTGGCGTGGGCGCCCTCCCATGGGCCACCGGTGTAAACCCCTGGAATTCTAGCGTTGGCCGCCATGAAGAGTGAGAGCATGAAAGCAATGTAGAGCACGCGAAGGGAAGCCATTGCCGGAGAGAGTGAGCGAGATAGAAATGGGAGTGAGAAAGCAGAGAGGAGAGAGAGAGTGATGGATAGGATTGGTGTTGGGGCGAATAGAAAGCGGGAAGAAGGTGGGGGTACTTATGGAGGTTGCGAGCACGCATCAGGGGTCTGCATATAATTGGATTTGGATCCTCTCCTGAGCCAATGGAGAGGATCTCCTAACCAAGCATCGTGGGCTATTGAATTTTCATCTAACGGCTATAATTATTATAATTTTAAAATTTTTTTATGTTTTTAACCGTTAAATAAAAATTTAACAGTCCACAATACTTAATTAGGAAGATTCTCTCAATTGACTCATAAGAGGATCCAAATCCCATATAATTTACCTCTCTAATTAATGCCCACTCTCATATCTATTTATTTATTTTTAAACATTTATAATTCTTATTTTCAAAAAAAAAATTCTCGTTTTCATATTTTCCAAGTTATGTTTATTGGGTCACGACTCACCATTCATTCGGGAAACATGAATTGACGTGCATGTGCACCACACATGGGCTCTCTTCACGTTGATTTTGTTCGGTCCAGTGGGGGGGGCAAGTTGAAGAACCAATGGGAGAGAGGGAGATTCAATGAGATAAATTGACCATCTCTCAAATGTCAAATTATAAGAGTTAAATTACAACTAATAGCTGATATGACAATCTAAAATCTTATGTTAAATTTTATTATTTTTTAACTGAATTGTTAAATATCATTTTATTATTTAAATAAAGCTTTAAATGGTCTTAATTATTAGAAAATGTTGAAACAAAATTTTGTTTGGTTGAAATGTTAGTAGAATAAGAGACCTGATATTAAAATGAATTAAAATAGGATAATACTAGGGAGATCAAAACTTTAAACTAAATTTGCAAACCAAATAATATGTCATCAATAGGAAATAAGCACATTAATCAACATTTAAATAATAATTCAATTATCAATATCCACATCATTTGGTTTACAAAATTTGACATTGATGTTAAATATGACTCCAAATTACAAAGCTTTCAAATTCAATCAACAAATAACAATTCGGTTGGAGAGACTTTTGATGTGAAATATGCACAGTGGGTTCCACCTGGAATTTTAACATCTCATTTGAAGATGTTTTACACATTCTGTTTTGTCTTGCTACACATTCATGTTTAACTATATTGGTTGCTTTCAATTGATTTATTCAATCCGATAATAAGAAAGGTTAAAAATGATATAAAAAAATTCAGTTATCATCCTACTTAGTCTTTGATTAAGCAAATTAAGATTTAATTAGCATGAAATTAATTGTGAAGCTAGGGAGGGCCACCCCAATTTGATTTTTCAGATTGATGATGTGAACCTTAAGTATCATTAATCCAGCCACTTAATACTACGGTCTAGTACTGTTCCTCTTCACTTGCAAGTGAGAGATCTTAGGTTCGATTATAGACAAAAGAGAATTATCTACACTAAACGGGAATGAAGTGGGCTTAGCCTTACAATGGACTAGCAATAATGTGATTCAAATTCGCATTTGGCGAGAATCGAACCTAAGACCTCTCACTTATAAGTGAAGAAGAATACCACTAGACTGCAGTATTAATTGACGACTATTTTTTAATAATTAACAATTATCTATGCCTTAATTTGGACCTCCATGTAATACAATGAGTAACCTCATGATTCAGGCTTTTGCATGAAGATATTGGAAACATGATCTCTTAGAGGATGTAGGAAGATGAACGGTTCGGATTCGTTGATATTACGTTTAGAGTTTTACTATTAGTGAAAATATAGCTCGAAGTTTATAAAGTCTCTATAAACTATATAACATCAACTCATATTTTAGTTAACCGTAAATATCAGAATGTTATATCAACGATCCGAACCGTTCATTTTTCTACATCACTAAAAGATCACTTTTCAAAAAAGAAAATCTAAAAAAGAAATTTGGTGAGTAGAATAAAGCGTAAATAGCAATCGACAGTTAAATTTAAATCTGAAGTTTATGGATTATGGTGTTGAATTTCGAAGTTGACCCTTTCATGAAAGTTGTAAAGCTTGCTATTACGAGTGATTGTATATTTTGTTCACATTTTTCACACTTCTACATAATTATTGTTTATTTTATTTATTTTGCACTCAAATAAAAACACTATTCATGAGATTTGGAGGGTTTTAAAAATCTAAATTACCATGTAACAATCGTCTAAGCGTAGATGATGCAATCACAAGTATTTATAAATGCTTTCATATTTTTCAAACTTATACATTAATGATTATGAATTTTATTTATTTTGAACTTCCTTAAAACTAATATCCATGTGGGTTTGTATGGTTTAAAAAATTCAAACGGTGATGTACTTATCCTCAAAGCATAGAGTGACACACCCCGACCCTAAAATCAAGGCGTGCTGGCCGTCACGTGGGCGTAATGTAACCAAAAGTGCGACGCGGAAGCAAAAAGGAAAAAGAAATGCGAAGGAATAAAAACCAACTATTAGCAATAATATCCAAATAATATGCTAGAGTGAGTTTAAGTATGAAACACACATAATCAGAGCATAAGTACTAGGTGCAGTCAAGTAGGACCATTCCTAAATTACAACACCCGAAAGTGAGTCCTACATTTAAGTAGTCTGTCAGAACGCCGTGGGAATCCTCGTGAGCCACCACTACTGCTAACTAGAACCTGGAGGGGCGCAAAACAAAATTGAGTGGGTCAGTAAAACAAAGCTTTTTGAAAATATTTCATTTAATAACACTTCCAACCCATCGCTGTAAAACCTGTATACTTTCCCAGAAAAATATTATATATATAACCATATATAACAACAAATAACTCAAATCACAAGTCTTTAACACTTTCCAGGAAAATATGCCATGCTATGCTTCAAAACATAATAAGGATGAATCAATATAACAGGTGAAATAAGGAATCAACCGAAGACCCTGCAGTTGTCCTATACGGCTAATTCTATAGCTCAATATCCAATCCAGCCAGAGTCACCAACTGTGACTTGTACGGCACTACTTTGCACACAAATCGGAACTATCTGACGTAGTCTGTATGACAAGAATGGTGTAAGAATACGCTCTAGTGCTTCTCCCATCAACAGCTGTATAATAATCTAAAGTCACATACAAGTCGGAACCACCTCTAATGGTATGTACGACATGCACTTACTTGGATCCAAGGTGAGTGTGTGGTGCGGGGTGAATAATATAAGCAATAACACCAGGGGTGCAGGTTATGAGCTCTCAACACAATTCACATCATCAATAAATCACATGAACAACCTAAAACTCATCTGATACTTACCTGTGCGTCCACAACACCATTTAACATATATGCATCAAATACTAGTTCATATATTTCATATAATATGTATGCATGGCATTTTAAAACATACTATCATTTAAATTCAATTTCTGGGAAAAGTTAGTAGTATATAGGTATATACAGAAAATAACTGCCCACTTACTGGTATGTCGAAGGGTTGTAACCCCCGTGACACCCTTGAATGCGCTTGTCCTCGGGATAGGTCTCACCTATATGCGAAACAACTATAAAAACGTTATTTTAAAGCACATAGGCAAAACTAGCTAATAACTTCTCATACGATGCTCAATTTAGGTATATGAATATACCACAGTGACCTACTTGACGTCACGGACGTCGAGATATTTTTAGAATAATTTTCACCGTCGCACGCGCCCCCACGCGCTGGGAGGGACACGGTGCTATGCGCCCACACGCGTGTCATCCCCTACCTCCAGACGTCGGAAAATCTCGCCGGCACCGAAAAACTGGGAAAATTTCTAACTAAGGTTTCTCCCTCGATTCTTCACCATTTCTCACGTAATTTATACCAAAATGAAGCCTTAAGCATGTAGAATCACGTTAAACAAGTTTCTAGGTCTAAAATCCACTAGATTTTACCTGAGGAAGCTCAATAATCCGGCCAAATTTGAAAAGCTTCGTTCTTAGTCCTCCAACGTCCAAATTCTACCAATGAAGTACCCCGAAGCTCGTGAGAACCTCCTTAAGCTCATTGTGAGCTTGAAATTCCCTGAAACACAATGTTTTAAGTGTGCATGAACAGTGCACATTTTCGGGGTTAGGGTTTCACGATGATTTCGAAGGTCTTAAGTCCCAAAATTAGTATGTTTGAACTCAGGGACTCAAGATGAGTTCGATTCTTACCTTAGAACCTTCGATATGTGAAGAAATGGCGTAGAATAAGCTTGTCCGTACGTGCACAGTGCACGAGAAGAAGAAACCGAGAGGGGAGAAAGAGAGGAAGTCCACGGAAGAGAGAGAAGTACTTTAGGTGATGTGTGGTCCTCCTAAGACCCTAACCACACAAAATACACATAATTTTTAATCCAACTTAACTTTCCAAAAACTTAGGAAGGTATGTTTTATTCAAATAAATAAGTCACACATACCTTAGTAACCTTTAAGGGCAATTCCGTCAATTCACAAAGACAAATGAAATTTCGGGACGGGCTGTGACATAGAGGATGCGATTGAAAGGGTTTGCATATTTTGTTCACATTTTTGCACTTGCAAATTAATTATTATAATTTTTAATGTGTTTGATATTTTTAATTTTAATGTGTTCTGTTTGTACCATACTTGACCAATCCCGAAACTACTGAGCACCGGTCAACGTTATACCGTCAAGGACCTAGAAGAGTTTCCCTACAACTAGGAGGCCAATCACAGCGCGACACGTGTCGACATCAGAAGCCAATCATAGCGTGACACGTGTCAACATCAGAAGCCAATCATAACACGACACGTGTCAATGTCAGAATGAAACTAGAAACTCTCTTCTATAAATAGAGATCACTCTCTCACAATATTTCCTAACGTCATTTGTACTAAATCATTCACTAGTACTCACTAAAGGAGAGTTTGAACTTATGTACTTATGTAAACCCTTCACAATTAATGAGAACTCATCTACTCCGAGGACGTAGCCAATCTGGGTGAACCATGTACATCTTGTGTTTGCTTCCCTGTCTCTATCCTTTACATACTTATCCACACTAGTGACCGGAGCAATTTAGCGAAGGTTACAAACTTAACACTT